TCACGTTCGACCGGGGGAGGGGGGTCGAGCCGCTTCCTGCCGCCCCCGCAGTGGCAGGTGGTGGCGGTACGAGTGCAGTGATCGACTGGGCCCTCCTGCGCGGCACACGCAGTGGTTCTGCCCCGGTTCCCCGTTATGCATTAGACTTTCGTGCTGCGGCTGCTCCCCCGGTTGTCACGAACCTGTTAGTGAAGCAGCTGCAGGCCGCCGCCCCAGGTCAGGACCACTCGGCTCGCCTGGAGCAGATTGCGGCCGTCATTGTGTCTCGAGTAGGCTCCAAGACTTGGCAATCGTATGCGTCTCATTTCGCGGCATTCGTGCGTTTCTGCGTCAGTGAAGACCTTGAGTTCTTGCCGGCGTCCCGGTATACCGGGTTGTTGTGGGCACAGTACCTGGCTGCCCGTGGTTCTGTTCGGGCTCGCACCGCGCAGCCCTACTTCAGCACGGTTAATACAGTGCACGATTTGTTAGGGCTGGCTAAGCCGTGTGATGGGGATAATGTGCTGTTGTCGGCGTTCCGTAAGGGCTGGGAGCGGCTGCAGGTCTCACTGGCCCCTACCTCGTCCCTTGTCCTCGCCTTCAGTGCTTCGGACGCCTGGAGGCTATACGACCGGCTCCCGTCCGTCCCGGTTGCGTCGGATTTGTTTGTCCCTCTTTTGTTCGTCGTCCTTGGCTTCTGTCTATTTTTGCGTCCCGACTCCTTGCTGTCTGTCGTCTGGGCGCGGGTTTCGGTTGTTGATGAGGAGCCTGTGTTTCAGTACAAGCCTTTGCACTGGAAAGGCCAAAAGAGGAATTGCCAAAGTCTGTAATGGGTGTGGTGTAATTTGTGTGGAGCGTTGATGGAAGGAAGGTCGTTAGATGCATTTCAATGCCGTACATGTTTATAATGCGACTTGAAGAATTGGACGTAATGTTGCGAAAAGGAATGGTCGAGAGGAATATAGGGTGCTTGTTCAGAAGTGGTGGACGATACAGTTTTTTAATAATTTTCCGCGGCTGAGGTAATCGCTCACTTGAATGCCACGAGAAATGTATGAAATGACGGGCATATCAGGGATGTAATTGGTGTGTCGCGCTGAAACAAGGGCAGGACATTCTAACAAGAAATGCCTGTTATTCCAAGTCGTCTGCTGCTGGTTACCCTAGCGGACACGCTAGACGTGCTGCGTCTTCTGAGTCAGCAGCCATTACACTTTTGCCAGGCTGGGCAACATGCAGTCGTATTCGACACGTTGTGATGAGTATAACGTAAAGGAATAGCAATTGGTTCATGGGCTGTTACACCATTTGCGGCACATATTCATAAAGGACGAGTACCGAGTGTGACCCTGCCGTAAAAATTAGCGCAGCGGCTGGTTTGTGGCTTGAGCCGCCACGCCAGCTGTGATGAATAGTCAGTCTGTGTCAACACAACACTGATGCGAAAATATTCCGAACCGAATTAAGTAAGAGCCGCGCGAGAGGCGCCACCAAGAATGGGTAACACGGGCGCCACCAAGAACCGGTAACACTACTTCCGGAACAGGCTATCTCTACTTACTTGGCCTGCCTAGCATAGTCGCGAGGTCTGATTTCTGTAACTCCCAAGTTATGTTTAAGCAAGAAACGCCATCGGGGATTGTCATAAGACACGGGGTTAACTTACACAATTCACTTACACAATCATAAAACCGAGGTACGGGAAGTTCGTGTACGTCACTTTGTGCCGTTCGGGCAGGCATGGACCTGACAACTCCAGGAGAGAGTTGCCACACTACAATGGACAAGACGCGGATGCGCTTAGATATCACACAAAAAGCGAGCATTGTCACTTTGCAACTTATTATCAACTACATATCTATGAAGGTTGGCCATCACTATTTATTCAGACCACACACAACTCAGGCAATAAGTCCGGACCGCAAGGCAGTATCTTATTTTAGGCATAGCCGAAAATGTGGTTTGCAGACGGGCGTCAGAGCGGCGTCGTACGGTGCGGTTGGTTGGTTGTTGTCTTGAACTGCTGTTTTGCTCGGTGGTGGTTCATCTTGTCTAGTTATCTTCTTTATGGTCTCTGACTCGGCTTCTGGTTGGTACGAGCTCTCTTTACCAGAACAGCTGCTAGTTGCCGCTGTTATGGTCTGTTGGTCAGCGGTGTGGATCTGGCGACCTTTCTTTCAAGGCAGTATCCATAATTGTGATGTGGTCTCCTGAACGCTCCTTGACGCAAATGCATTGATTGCCGCGCGGGTGCGATGATAAACCAGGGCGGCGCATCCCGTTCGACCCGTCAAAAGTTCATCCACGGTAGTCAGACGCCAGGGAGTTATTTGCTGGGGCCATCCTTGCCGCTAAGAGGGTAGCTGCGTCTTACGTTGACCATACGACAGTTGTACGAATGGCGGGCGCGGTTGCCATATATAAGGCGCGGCCTGACCGATGTTTTCTTAAGGGGTATTCAAATTATACAACTCCCGCGCACTGTAGCATGACGCACCGGCCAAGGCACTTTGTAACGGGTATCGCCTTCACTTGGCGTGGATGACTCCTACTCATTTTATTTTGTCAACAGCCAGCCAGGTTCCAATGGGCCTAGTGGCCCGGCAGTAAAACTCTGCTCACATCAGGCTCACAACCACACCTGGGCCTACGGTCTCAGGACAAAACTCTGATTCTGCTTCCGCTCGCGCATACAAATCTCAATCCAATCTCGTTTAAGACAATCTACTGGTATCGATTCCTTTCTCTAAACGATCCTGGGCGCCCCAGTGTGTCCATCCAGCGGTTCCCCCAAACGCAAAATATTTTGGGCTGCCGCTGGGTGCCGCCCGCCGGGGCGCGGCTGGTATCGAGACTAGGGTCTCAGCCCTGTCTCTAGCTACTTTCGAACAGTCTGCTTGACGTCCCACTGGTTGTACATCTTGTACGCCATGGAGAGCCAACATCAATCCCACTTTATCACACACCCTCATCCCTCGAGCGTCTCGTCTGTACCTATTTTCCGGCTAGGAGACAGCGCACAGCAATGGGTCGCCAGGGTTGAGAGATGTGGTTGGATGTATGGCTGGAGTGAAGAGGCTCAGCTGGACGTCGCCATCTGCCGCCTAGGAGATGAGGCCATCTGCTGGCATGGAAGCGTCTCTCCCCGATTGGCCTAGCTTTAAGGCCGCATTTCTGGAACGATTCGATCTGACTCAAGAAGAGTTGTTTAGCCGGCTAGCTCATTGTCGGCAGGAACGGGGCGAAGCTGTACGGACGTACGCTGACCACTACCGCGACCTAGCTGCCCAACTGGGCGTGAACACACAACACGACCCCATCCACATGCTTAACTTCTTACAAGGACTACAGCTCAAGGTTTACAACAAGGTTTCCTCATGCGTCCATATAGCTTTGAAGATGCCATACGATGCGCCATCTATATCAACGAGGGCCTGGACCGCCAGGATGCAGCTGGCCACTACAAACCGTTTCCCCATGGATTTCCACAGCCATCCTTCTCGGGCTACCCCGCGCTGGGAAAACCGTTACGGCAACCTTCATGGTAATGTACCTGATTTCCCGACCCCTAGTAGCTCACGACCGGATGGTCCCGTAACTCCAGTGGCTACACAACGTCCCATGGGACCACGGCAACCAGAGCAGAAGGCCGCCGGGAATGCTCCCTGGCAGGGTCGCCCACGACCTGATGTTTCGACGCCCCCAGAAAATGAACCCCTGGAGTCAGGAGTTGACGACATCGCCCGCCAGTTGTCACGATTAACCCTGTTGCTGGAGTGCAACCCTAATGTACAATTGTGGGAAAGGGATAACACTCACCAGAAGACCCACATTTTTATCAGATGGAGCATCCGGACATCTACTCTTGTTCCCGGCCGGCTGCCCCACCAGCCGCCTATGTCAAGCGAGTGGCCGATTTTGAGTCTATACCACTTCCCCGCAAGCGCCCAATGGCTACCCCTGGCCAGGATGCGCCTCGGCCTGCTACTACCGGGCGTATAGGCATTGTACGACCCGTGGTGACACCGTTGGTCTCCCCGAATGCCCCCGGCTACGGCTACCCAGGCTCATCAGCCACAGGAGCCAGCAGCCCCGGGTGCGCCACCTCCAGAGCATACTGCCACAACCGGAGGTACCGTCCCAGCCCAGCAAGGCATTGCCAGCACTGAACCTCGTCTCCGTCGACGAGTAGCTGAGTCTGGCAGCCGCACCGATCCCATTCCTGCGGACCCACAAGAGGAAGAACGGCGTATTGCTGAGGACATCATTCATAAGGTCAACAAGTATGCACTACCATTGAGTACAACTCTACGGTGCAACCCTATTAGTATCTACACGAAGGTCGGCAGCCGAGTCCTTGGGTTGGCTCGTCAGCACACCAGCCCTGGCAACCCCCAACCTGAGTCCACGTTTGGACCAGAGAGGCCTACGGCGGGCACCATGCAAGCTTCTCTTTCGGAGCAACCGCCCTCAACGATACCCGCCTGGAACCTGGAAGTCTGATGCCGTCATACCACCCTGGCAAGTTTGCAGAGCCACCATATGGATAGTTGACGGACATGGAGGACAAATCCCCGTCCCTGCCGTCATCGATTCTGGGGCTTCTCATAGTGTTGTTACTCGAGACACACTACAGCGCCTAGACCTGCTACACCTGATGGAGGAGATGGAGGTGACGTTCCTGAATGCGGATGGCAATCGTGGTCGGGCCGCTGGACATGTCAGTGAACTACAAGTGTCCACTGGCGACCTAACGATGCTGCTGAGTCTGTTCGTCAGCACTGCCCTCAATTATCAGCTACTCCTGGGCACCGACTTCCTCTACCCAATACGAGAGTGGTCGTCTGGAATACACCAATGACCGTGTAGCAGGCTACATTTCCCTTAGAATATTTCAACAATTACTTTTAACAATAACTGTTAATTCGTTAACGATTCGTCTCAAGTTTCGTACATGTTACGAGCTTCGTCACATGTACCGAACATGGCGGTTGTTCGTAAGCGAACCTAACGGGCTGGGGCCCCGGGCCCCACCAACATTATCCTAGTACGGCAAGTCCGTGGTAGGGAATCTCCGGCAGGTAGGCCGAGATATAAGCTACCCGGGCGGGGTGCTCTGGCCAGACACTGACGTATCACATTACTAGGTGTTCGGAGTTCAAGACTCCGCTGCCGCCGTCTCTGATTGTGTTCGTACGCGTCTATGTACGCTAGTGCTTGCCGCTTGGTTGGACTTCTTCCCACTCCGGCGAGGACTGTAAACTCTACGCTTCCGCTAAGTCAGTCGACCCGCCAGGTGAGCGACTGCTACATTGGTATCGAGGGTCAAGTTCGATCCTCCTTGACGCGATGCGCTTCACTCCTGCCGCGCGACGGCGTTTGGCTAGACTTTTTCTTAAATTTCAACGATCTTATTAACGACGCCGTGAAGCGCTCCTTGCTAACCAGAACCAGGCCCCTTCCAAGTCCGAGGCTCATGATTCTGGCGATCAAGACGTATGCCCTTTGGCTATTCCAATTAATGAACATGATATCAATAATATTCCTGTTGCCAATCGTGCACAGATGGACGTCGATCCTCCTACGGATCCGACTTCGGATGCCGTGCAGCGCGGTTCGCCTTCTACGGGCGGATTACCGGCGTACGAGCCGGTAATCCGCCCCGTACGCCGGCCCAGGCTGCGGCAGCCGCACATGTTCAAGAAATGCTTCGCGCGGCGCGCGACAACCAAGTCCCCGCTCTTCAAGCGGAATTAACGACCTTTAAGGGTGAGGTGGAGGGCCTTTTCGCCGAGTACGGTGAACGTTTGGGCGAAATCACCTCTGTCCTGAAGGATCTCCAGACGCAACTTCGGGACGTGTTACCTGCGTCGCCTGCTCCGAGTTCTTCGGACACCCGGCGCAGATCCATCATTCTCGATGGCATTTGCGAGATGCTGGACAGCAGCATCGCCTCATTCCTTGAGGTTGACATGCTGCAGAACTGCGCGTTTCAAGTGCTTCTCCAGCGACACCTCAACCCCGAAGTACGACTGGAAGAAGTCAAGCAGCTTTGGAGTGAGGGCGTGGCTAAGAAAGCCGGTGGACCTTCCAGCTCGGCTGGCCCCTCTTCCAAGACCGCCCGAACTACGGAGGTAAATAAGCGTATCCTTGCACCACCTCGTTTTAGTGGAAAAAAGGATTCGCAAATTACTAATACGAAGACATGGTTTGCGCTGCTTATGCAATACTTTGACTTGCCGCAAATGGACCCGCTTGAGCACTTTATGTTCTGGCTTACCGGCAAGGCTCAGGAGTGGGCCGCCGATCTTTTCCTTAAGCACAAGTCCGGCGCACAACCACTCACCCGCGATCTGTTGCGTGATAAATTCCTGTTACAATATGGGGATGCGAAACGCGACACCGCGATGGCCGCACGTGATCGTTTGCACGCGCACGAATACGATATGAAAATAGACGAGTCCGTACCAGAGTACACGCAGCGCTTTTACGATATTGTTCGCGAAGCGAATGATATGAGTGTTGCGGATCAAATCTCTTGGTACATTAAGGGCCTAGTTCCTGCGCTGCGCAGACGATGAGGGCAAGGACTGGCAGGATTTAGAGAAACTCATCATGTATGCTAGCGGTCAGGAAGTTCGGTGGAAAGCCGGAAAGGACAAAGCACAGCTTGCTGTGGTGACCATGCAAGCCGGCCCGTCTAAGATTACTTCCTCCGCTCGCCCTAAGAATTCTCACCCTCGGTCCCCTCCTAAACAGGCCTGGGATACGGTCCGTGCCAAGAAACAGAAGACGTCTACGTCTAGTAACTTTCTCAAGTGCCGGGTGTGCTCTCGTCTAAAGCCGGAACACCAGACTTGGGAGGAGCATAAGAAGGACTGCCTTCGACACCTGCAGGAGCAGATGGCTCGGCTGCAGGAGAAGACGTCCCGTTTTAACGCGAACAAGCAGAAGGATTAGGACGCTGGCAAGCGCGAGGGGGTGTCTTGTAAGCAGGCCGTTGGTGCTGTAGCACGAGTAGACCAAGTCTCTCAAGACGAGCCTGACTTGACAACTAGGGACTTTGTTGTTCCGCCCGTTTGCGATCCGTTGATTTGTGATCGGATGTTCCTTCGTGATGAATTTCGAAGAGTTGAGAACGAACTTGGGCGTCAATTTACGTTTGATGCCGCTTGTAACGACTCGGGCGACAACAGTCTCTGTTCGCGCTTTGCCTCTCCATCCAACTCGTTCTTTGATACGGACGTATCTGGCGAGTTTGTTTGGATCAATCCCCCATACACTCATATTAAAGAATGGCAGCAGCATTACCATCGCTGTAAGCTAAAAAGTCCTCAAACAACTTCTGCGGTGTTCGCCGTTCCAAAATGGACTCAAGTCGAGTGTCTTATGCGTTCCGCTGGATACCAGCTACTCAAAACTTATGCTGCTGAAACACAGTTGTTCTCACAACCAGCAGAAATGGGAACGCGTTCGGACTTGCCGGGCATCCCTTGGCCAGTACAGCTTTGGTATGACCCGCCGTCCAAATCGGTGCAGCTTAACAGCTTGGATAGCAATGGCCGCACTATGCTTTTCGATGCTCGCTTGTGTCAGACGGCTTGCAAAGTTCTTGCCGATTCCGGTGCCAATTGCGGCCGGGTTGCCGACGGCTTCATTTCTCTTGAAGCTGTCCGCAGGATGGCTCTTTCTGTCCGTCCTTGCACTATATCTACTGTTCGCGTCGCGAATGGTACTCAAGAGCTTATCAATGGCTCGATTACCGCTAAGCTCCGTATAGGCTCCTTTCATGAAACAGTCACACTACTTGTTTTAAAGCAAGGTGTTCCAGGCGTTGAAGTTATTCTCGCTGATGGCTGGTTGGAGCGGACGAAAGCGAAAATGTGTTGGGAATCACATATGCTTACGGTACGGAAAGCTACCGGCGGTACTGTTGTCCTGAAGCCTTCCTTTTGGCCTTCGGAAGACGACAACGATCACTTGGATGGTATTGCCATCATGAATTACGTTACCGCCACTCTCTATGCTGCGAGTACGGTGGAAACGATGTCAGCTAAGGCAGCTGCACGGAGGATTGCCAAAGGAGCACGAAGCTATTTAATGCTTGTGCAATCTGAGCTCATTTCTGAATCCTCGGCGTTTGTGGAGTCACGTTCTCCCGACACCGACGTAATCCCCGAGGCAACATTGCAAGGGTTGCTTGACGAATACAAGGATGTATTCGAAGAGCTCAAAGGCCTTCCTCCAGATCGCGAAGTAGGTCATACGATTCCACTAGTGGAAGGGGCTGTACCGCCCGCTAAACGATCGTATCGGTTGACTCAATTAGAGCGCCAAGAGGTCCGCAAACAGGTCACCGAATTGTTGAGTAAGGGCTACATAGAACCCTCTACTTCACCTTATGGTGCGCCCGTTATCTTTGTGGAAAAAGCTAACGGCCAGGGCCTTCGCATGGTCTTGGATTACCGTGCGTTAAACAAAATTACGATCAAGCGGCGATATCCTATGCCAAACATTACTGACCTCTTCGATCAACTCCAAGGGGCTAAGATATTTAGTTCCCTGGACTTACAGCAGGGCTACAACCAAATTCGCATTACACCAGAAGATGTTGCGAAAACGGCCTTTATCGCTCCGGGAATGGGCCAATACCAGTTCAAAGTGCTGTGCTTTGGACTCACAAACGCCCCTGCTACGTTCCAAGCGGTGATGAATCGGATCTTCGCCGAACACATTGGCAAATTTGTGCTGGTGTACTTGGACCACTCTGGGAAAAAGGGGGGGTCGAGATTCCATAAAATGAGGCTCTCTTTTTCCATAGAATGAGGTCCTATTTTTCCATAAAATGACATGTCCTTTTCCATAATATCTCCACAATTTTATGGAATGCGGCCACGCCCCACTGCCAAAAAAGGCGGGCGGTAGCCTTTCACCCCAGGAAGACGGTTGGTAACCTGTACGGCAGTACTACAGGGCCGAGAATGGTGGGCGGTTACCTGTACGGCAGTCCAGCTACCTTTCACACCGGCGCTGACCTTTAAGGCAGTCCACAGTCATGTTAATCTTTATGCTATGTGTTGAAAGGTTACAGAGTAGGAGTTTTCTGGGCCCCTGGAACACAATGTCATTCCTAGCCACTATACAGCACCGTCCACCATGACTATAACTGCTGTACTAACTGTGAGTCCAAGGCCGGTGACCCCTGTCGCCTAGGCTCCCTTCTCGTCCATTCGCACCAATACACTGCGCGAATCTGGTCCATCAATTCCACATCTCGTAAGCTAGCCATAATCCCCGGCTCCAGGCAATGTCATGGGTTCGCAGACATCGAACCCAGGACTTTGAACTAATGCTAAAGGGTGGCAGCAGCATGGACAAGAAACCCAACCAAAAATGAAGTACCATACCGCTATGGCCGATTGGTGATTTCTGGATTGGTGAAAGTAAAAAACGCTTCTAGAAATAATCTTAGGGACACCGGGATTGTTGATACGGTTTGGTGTTACCCCCTCCACTTTTTCCCATTGCCACCGAATTGGTGAAAGCCGCCAACCGGACTGCCCCCCGTTCACTGTGGGCCCTCCGAGGCACCCCAGGCCCACATCAACCAATCTGCAGTCGCATGTAAACGTTTCTAGATGCACGCCGTCGCATACAGCATCGCGCGCGCGTGCAGCAAAGTGACCCTTAAACTCATGCACAGTTTGTCTAGCCTGGATCCAGAACGTACATGGATTGGTGATGGCCGCCGCTCAATCCCAGCCAGGATTATCCTGTGCTAATGGATTGGTGATTTTCACCAATCCAGTGTCACCAATCGGCCATAGCGGTACGGTAATGCTGTCGTCTTGACCCATGCCAGAACTCATGCCATAGGAAGTAATCCGGCTTAATTGCATTTGTGACATCAACAATTTTAACACACAACACAATACCACGATTCTATGGGGACAGGCTTTCACATATAGACTCTCCCCAAGAACCATACACATTTTCCGATGCGTGGTACATAGTCACATTAGAAAGTAACTTGGAGAATTCCAACAGCGCTTTTTGGATCCGCACGTTTGAACCCAACGGCTGAGTACTTGCCCCAGGCAGCAGGCGTTGACTTAGTGCCACTCCGAACAGTATTGTTGTGATCCGCAAGTTTGAACCCAACAGCTGAGTACTTGCCCCAGGCGGCAGGCGTTGACTTAGTCGTTTCACTCCGAACAGTATTGTTGTGATCCGCAAGTTTGAACCCAACAGCTGAGTACTTGCCCCAGGCGGCAGGCGTTGACTTAGTCGTTTCACTCCGAACAGTATTGTTGTGATCCGCAAGTTTGAACCCAACAGCTGAGTACTTGCCCCAGGCGGCAGGCGTTGACTTAGTCGTTTCACTCCGAACAGTATTGTTGTGATCCGCAAGTTTGAACCCAACAGCTGAGTACTTGCCCCAGGCGGCAGGCGTTGACCTAAGTCGTTTTCCGCACTGCCTGGTCCAGATATGCAGACTGTAAACAGATAGCTTTTCAACTGTAATGGCACAAGCGCGTTGACCTGAGACAGCTCGTGTTCAGAATCGCTGTTCCGAATATGCAGCTGATACCGTGCAGGAGCTTAGACCATGGTCTGTCCCAGACCGCGCACAAACAACATGCAGCAGATCCACCTTTTTCCAAAGCCGCATGAACCAAAACCTCTGTGAATTGCAGACCGCCCAGAGAGGAGCCGCCAGTTTAACTCCAGATCCTTGTCCATGTCCTGTGTGACATATCCCTGTGACTCCAGTTTGGGCAGCTCAGTCCAGAACCCTATTTCCTTTCAAAAAGCAGCTGATCTCAGTATTATCTAACAAATGATGTACAACTGTAGCCCAGGGAAAAGTCTGTCTGGAAGATGTACTTGGATATTTGTACATGACATTGATTCTGTCTGTCATTCCGAATAATTAATAATCTCCTAGGAATTACATTTTTTCACCAGAAGGCATGAAATCTGACACAAATGAGATGGGAGTGGCCACTAGTCAACCAGGACATGCAACCTCCTAAATTGTAAAGGGTAGTACTATACCCGAATCCACATTTTTTAACAAGGGATGTGGACACCGAACACATTCTGACACCCCCAATATCGAAAAGCAAACCGTTAGCGCTTATGAGGCGATTTAACAACGGGGACAACATGCAGGACGCTGATGCTGCATTGCACAGCTGAGATCAGCTGTGATATGCATGCCCGGATGATGTGTGGCCAGTTGCACCGTATGGCGCTACACTGATATGCATTTCGACAACTGAGATCAGCTGTGCAATGCAGCTGATCTCAGTTGTCGAAATGCATATCAGCGTAGCGCCATACGGTGCAACTGGCCACACATCATCCGGGCATGCATATGCAGAGACCAAGACAGAAACGGGGCTGGCTCCATCATTGCAGTCCGAAAGCGACCCATGCAGGAAGCGTAACATTGCTGACAAGACACGATACATGTCATGAGTAGCGCTACTTTATCACGCCAACTTACGACAGCAGCAACGTGACATACATGCGTTCAGGTGACACACAGCAGCATTTCTAAAATGTCTCAAATGAAAAAAAATCCGGTAGAAGCAGGAAAGTCTACCGCATGGATTAACAGGCAGCTGCCACGCAACGACGACAAACAAACGGTGCTCGAATGGTTAATCATGGATCCGACTAGCTAAGCTTGTCCGGTTAACAACGGCGTTGGCATAGTAATGTCATTCAATAGTAGTTGAACAATTCTGCTCGCAAGGAGCAGTGAACTGCAATCGCGAAGGAGTCCATTCTTGCGGACTATAACGTTTGCAGACACTATTGCTTACCTACACATAATGAATGCGTAATACAGTCGGTAAGTGCGCATGTTTCAATGACAAAGGTATGTTCTGCGTATCATCCAGCAGACCACCACTGTTAGTCCAGAACGTCAACACAGTCAAGGCGTACACCTGTAAACTGTCGCTTTCACAACTGTTCATGTACATTGGCAAATGCGTTATGGCATTACCTGCGGTTGCATGTCTGTTGGCGTTCACTACCTGCAGGGCCAAGGCATCCGGAGGTGAAAAAAAGGCATGCCGAATGCGAAATGAAATAAGCTTCAGTCATGTTAAACATATGCAATAATGAAGGATTGGAGGCGATAGAAGGCACGCACTCATCAGAGAAATAAGATGGCGGCCGGCTGGCCTTGTCCACGGATAAGCCGCCTTGTGCCTATTAGGAATGCAAGGCCCTGCGCTGATGGAATGAAATATGAAGCACTGTGCTTAACAGTATGAATGTAAGTAGGTACCGAAGATGCGAATGTGCCACATATATGAGGATCGTTTAAGTGGGCCTTATCCGTAGCATCAAGTATTCCCTGTGACAATGAATGTCGTTACCATCGTGCATGACCCTTAGCCAATAAACTGTTGATAGTAGCAACGATGCATTTCTAGCAAACAAGCAGCTGTTAATCACGACAAAACTAGGGCTCTAAGAGGGGCTGTTACTTGGCGAGCCGGCACGATGGCATATGACCTGTTGGAAGTATTAATAATGGAATCTATTCACTTTTGGTAATGACCTGTCATATTAGCCCGGCTGGGCATCTTGCGCCCCGCTAGCTCATATGGATGCGTTGCAACGCATGCGTTATGATTGCGCAATCATATGACCAATTGGGCATGCATAATCCGAGACATATCGTGGCACTGGCTATGTTGAGTCATAAAATTCTATCTGCCCGTGACGGTCAGGTATTCATGCAGCTTGTGCTGAGTAGTAAAAGTGTCAAGTTCCGCACGTGAGCAGGGGCATCCACTGTATAAAACCGGAGGCGACAGATGGTGTACTGGTACTGAAGCGGGTATGGCGGGGGACCTGTGTGTCAATCACCTTACAGGCCTCCAGTCTCCCAGTCTGGGGCAGGCTCCCACTCTGGCCTGCACCCTCCCAGCCTCCTAGGTCTGGCCAACCTGGCCCCAAGCCTCTCAACCAATGCCCTTTGCAAACTCCCAAACTCTTGGGATCTCTGCCTCACAACTTCCCAGCCTCACAGTCCCCGAGTCTCCCAGACTTCCAGGCTCCCAGACTAGTAACCTCCCAAACTCTCAGGCTCCCAAACTCTCAGTACCAAGACTCACAGGCTCCCTGGCTCCTAGCCCCCTAGGCTCCTATTCTCACAGGCTCCATATCTCCCAGGCTCCCTGGCTCACAGTCTCCCAGGCTCTCAGTCTTCCAAACTCCCATGCTCCCAGGCCTCTAAATTCCCATTTCCCAGCGGCTGATAGTACACACTATTCCTACTCATATTGGCCTCCACGCTGGACAAGAAAGGTCGCTGCTGCTCATTGTTTTTGTTGTTGCTGATGATGTTGCTGGTCATACACAAGCCACGCTGGTCACTACGTGATTATGAATGGTGTTACTAATGCACATGTCATGAAGCATCCAAAACAGCTGCATGAGCAGCAGCTTTGCGGAGATTCTCAAGGTACTCCACGGGGTGCAGATAACGCTGGCCAATTCTGTTGCATGAATTCAAAGGCAGGAGAGCAGGAGCAACACACACAGTGCAAAATGAGTATTGGCATGTATGTGGGGGCCTTTTCACATACATTCTAAACATCATAGCTTGACTTCATCCAAACATTAGTTGGCATGACATACAAGTGCTGCAGAAGAATAAGGCTGAGCAGGAAATGAGGATAACCATGCTTTATGACTACCCAGGCACAGACATTGTGGCAGCCCAGTACTCACTCCTCGGGTTTTTTGTTGTACTCCTCCACAAGGAACCCGAGTACTTCACGGCGCTTGTCTTCCGGGGGCAGGGTGTCCGACATGAGCATCATAATACGGACACGCATGTAGTCACGCAGCAGAGAAGCATTACTTGGTAGGAACCAGGTCTTGCACATGAATGTGCTTGCATCCGCGGCTTCAGGTCGAGGGTCCAGCGCACGCACATCTGTTTTGTTGTTGTTGGGTTTAGGGTGCAAACATGGTAATTGCAGGTCTACTTTTGTGTGTGTGTGTGTGTGTGTGTGTGTGTACGTGTGTTGAGTGTGTTGTGTGTGTGTGTGTGTGTGTGTGTGTGTGTGTGCAGACATGGGTTTTCATCCAATGCATTTGGTATTGTGCAGGAAAGGTTGGAGCTGCCCTACTGGAGTACATGTAGGTAATCATGTATTCAACACAGCCCACCTTATACGAAAGTTAGGGTTAAGGGGCCTACTAGCATAAATACAACAGTACCCCTACTTTTGACATATTGAACCTGCTTTTGGCTGTCACATAACAGCTTCTGCCTGGTGATACCAGTTGCATCCCTGCCATGCAGGGGCAGCAGCTGGTACAAACGAACAGGAGTAGCAAAACAGTTGCACTTCAGAATATGCCAATCTTAACTTCATGATGGACTTAGGGTTTGGACATGATAGGACTTGCACACAAGACATGTACATTACCCACCTGGAGCAGAACTCCCTTTGCTCAAAACACAGCGTGGGTTTGCCGACATGAAGAAGTCCACGTAGCACAGCAGGAACAACCCACAGTCTACCGTATTATTTTGGCTTGGGATGCGTTCAGCCATGCTGGTGCCAGGCACCTCACTCCAGTACAAGCCGAAATCAGGCATGTTTATGTCAGCTGCAGCGAGTCTCTCCTTGCAGCTACGTGGTACCGAATCCAGCCCTTCATCTGTCATCTTGCACTGCCACTCAAGTGCAAGGTAGCCGCGCAGCACCGCAAAGATGGCTTGTGAATCGTGTGTTCCTGGAGCCATGTCATTAAACATCGTCAGTCGTTAATTTATAATCCCCTATGATGGAATGAAATGACAGGGCTGCCCCAATGGCTGAGGGACATGTGTCAGCCGCAGCCGCATATTCACACCACCTGATGGAAGGTTTTACATGCCCTTTGTCCATGTTACATGTATTCTACAGCATGCATTCATGTCAACCTAGTAAACCATCCTACTGACATTGTGTCTTCAACCCTGCCGCAGGATTACATGCAAAACATGCATGTAATCTGCTTCAATTAGTAACTACCCTAACTTGCTATCTGCCTGCAAAATATTTGTCTCCACACAGTCCACGTATGCAAATTGTACATCCAGCAGCAGGCGTTCACGACCTACACACATATCCAAGTAACTTACCTTCCATAGAGTTCAGGTGCAGCATGAGGGGCTTGACACATGTAGCATCCTGCAAAACGCCACATGCCTGCTGTGCCCCCACTGCAGGTAGCAGGTTCTCCTGAATCCATGTCGCGATGCTGCCAGGATGACAAATAATTACTAGCGACCAGTGTTGTTGCCCATTGATGGGCACGACAATGTAGTCTTTGCTGAACAGGTCCACGTTCTGAACATGTCATGAATGGGCATCAGACAATCATTCGATTGCAACACAATATTTGAAGACACCTGGAGTGCTTGTTAGGGTCATGGTCGTCGAGTTATTCTAATGGAATGACACATACAAGGCCTATGCAACTGGTCAACATACCTTGGTCCACCTCTTCACCAGGTTGTGATCCTCCTCAGCAATCAAGGTGCAACCGGCTAAGCCACTGTGCTTCTCTAGCAGCTTTGTGAAAAAGAAGGGGCTGAAGATGTGGAATCGCTGCTGTACGTCTGCTGACAAGCGGCTCTCGATGTACCTGGAAGTGGGCTCAAGCAGTGTTCCATCAAACAAAGGACCCCATGCAAACCTATGTCTTAGGGTTGTACATGGAGCACAGGGCAAGTAATGCAGTAAACAGGTCACAGCACTTGAACCCCACCATCCTTGCAACCTATACTTGGGGTCCTGCACTCTATTGGGGACAACTGCCTGTTGCCCTACCGACACCATAATTTTCCAACTTGTAACTGTTACATTAGAGGTAGCCTCCTGCTTGCGGTTTGGCATTCCGGGGATGCTTTCAAACCCAAGCTTCCACACAGCAAGCAGCAAGCTTACTTCAGGAAAAATTCGATGCACGTGTCATTCAGCATTTCATCGGGCTGTAGCTGCATCAAGTCCTCAACCCTCACAGTGATGCTTCCCACGCCCCCACGTGGGGGGAAGGTGCAGATAACGCCGGCCAGCATTGCTAACGTCGTGTCCTTGGTCAGCTTGGCTGCCCCTTGACCGCAGTACCGCTGCCAAAGCCACATGTGATGTTGATGAGCCTGCCGACAAACCGGTTTGGACACAATGACCGTGGGATGAACTTTGCTAAGGCTGCCTTGGCACGAATTGGTGAAAGATGATGACCAGTCAGTCATGAGGTATAAAGAGAGCGCTGCTGAACAAGGGCTACTGCATATGCGGGTGAAGTGCCCTAGTACGACCATGCTATGTAGCCAAGGCAAAGCAGATTACAGAGCTCATGATCAGGCTTCGAGGAGTGGTGCCATCAGAAGTGCACTACTAGGGTGCATATGCGATCAGCTGCCTGTCTTCCACACGAACTTCAGCAGCTGGTTTGTCAGGCTGCTATAGACGCAAAGCGCCCGTGTGCTAAACACCTTCAGAGTTCAGGGAGAACATGTCATGAAGCCGCTATGTCCTGGCTTGTTACCTGCGTCGCCTTGTATCCATATATGGCATTGGACAGCAAAAGAGAAGTGACATGAACATTTTTTGTAGGCATGCATGGCAACCGCCGACCCTCATTATGCTACTATGGTGCGGGATCCCTACATACATCTGTACATTTGCTTGCCGCCTCTTCCTTTGCCGCCTTGATCCCCTGCCGCCTTTACCCCTGCCCCCTCCTCCCCAGCCGCCTCCGCCCCTGCCGCCTTCACCTCTATTCCCTTCCGCCTCTGCCCATGCCGCCTCTATCCCCTACTGCTTTCTCCCCCGCCGTTTCCTCCTGCCGCCTACACCCCTTCCGCATCTATCCCCTGCCCCCTCTGCCCTTGCCTCCTTGATCCCCAGCCGCCTCCACCCATGCCCTTTAAACCCCTCACGCCTCAATCCCCTGCCAACTCCTCTCCTGCCGCTTCAGCCCCTGCCGCCGCCGACCCTGCCCCCTCTACCTCTGCCCCCTCCTCCCCAGCCGCCTCCGCCCTGCCGCCTTCACCTCTATCCCCCGCCGCCTCTTCCCTTGCCGCCTCGATCCCCTGCCGCCTCCACCCCTGCCCTCTAAACCCCTGCCCCCTCCTCCACAGCCGCCTCTGCCCCTGCCCCCTCCACCCCTGCCCGTGCCGCCACTATTCCCTGCCGCCTCTATCCCCCGCCGCCTCCTCGCCTGCCGCCTCCTCGCCTGCCACCTCTATCCCCTGCCGCCTAAGCCTCTGCCATCTCTATCCCCTGCCGCCTGTGGCCCTTCCACCCCCCCCCTCCCACCTCGCTCCCTCTCTCTCCTGTTGAAAGGAATACAAGCACCACGGTGCATTGCGTCTGTGAGAGCCAACCCATGCCAAGCCACTAAGGAACCCATGTGGTGCATGAAAACTTGGCATGCACAAATCCCCATTCACAACCCCCTTTTCCTCCCCTTATCCCACATACATCCCTCCCTTGTGGCCGTGAGCTCGGCCACAGTCTGTAACAGGCGATGAAAGCAGAACCGCTGACTGCGGGCATCTCTGCGAGGAGCTGCGGGTTGACCACTGGCGCTCTTGTGGCCCACGGCCACAAGTGGTGAGTCACTCCAATAATGAGCACATTGGCAAATGCGCATTTGCAACGCTGAGCATCAGGACATGGATTTCGGTGGCGGCATAGCTCTCACGGTGAGAGGAGCTGTACATTTAGCTAGGACAGACTTTGGGTTTCTAACCGACATGTCCGTTGTACGACGGAACCGTGAGACCAGGACGCCCTCCCCGACCTGCAACAGCTGTTTGAATCGAGCTCGAAGCTGTAATGCATATTCACGTGTACATGTCTTCCTTTTCTTCGCGGCCAGCTGTTGCAACACTCGATTCCACGTCTAAACCAGTAAGCGCCTCGAATTAACGTTGGCAAATATTTGAATGACATACAACCTATTGAAAACGTCTGGATAAGTTCAATCCAATTCAAGCAAGGACTTGACACCTGGGAAGGAACGAATGACATGGCAAAGCGAGGGCTTGCTTGTAGAGTGCAAACACAAGGGATAGCTTTCGGATGTAGCGGCGGTCACTCCAAAGTTGGCTTAGAGGCATGGAATTATGATACGGCCGAAATTCCGCGGAATTTGCACGTCGAGTCAGCAGGTACCGTGGCCACAGCGGATCGTAAACGATCATGTACAATCTTCTTTGATATACATTTCTTATGGCACTGACACTTCCTGGATCGTATGCTAAGCACGATACGGCAAGGTACCACTGCAGCTGTCGGACATGCGTGCAACGATGGGAATAATTGTTGATGGAGACACAAATGACTTTGTTATGCCATTTCCTGTTACAAATGATGGAGAAGAGAGGCAACAACAGGAAGGGCCTTATGGCAGTGCGATACCCATTTTCGTGCTAAGCTTGTGCTGAACATCCAAAGCCAAGTTCAGCTTATCAGATTCATGCACACAGTTAATGATGCCCCTGAGGACACGGGCCGTTGAGAAACGGTTTGTCCGACAGTTACGCACTGGGCGTAATGCCCAACTTGCCAAACAGCTTGCATTATAATGCAATTAAGCTGGGTTAACTGGGCATAAGGAATAAAGGACGACGCTGGCGCGGCCAGAGGATGACACTGCTGCCGCGGCCAGAGCTCCCTGATGCAATAATAGCAAGCACTGTCAATTCCGAAGCATGTCCTTAAAAAAACGTGTTCCTCTATTAATTAATTCCCTGGCCCGGTAAAATGCATTTTATGGAAGGCGAGTGGGACACTATGGAAACAAAGTACCGTATGGAAGACGAGCAACGCTTTATGGAAGACAGACTGAGGATGGCACTCCTGACGTGCTGCTGCATTACAAGCAAGAAGTGTCAATAAAGAAGTATGTACCTGTGAAAATAGACAACAAAAACAAGTGCAGTTCGGGCATTCCATATCCCCCCAGAAGTGCATTTTACGGATAGGGAACCCATTTCATGGATAGGGAACCCATTTCACGGATAGGAAACCCCATTTCACGGATAGGAAACCCCATAATATGGATCCTGAACCATTTATGGACGATGGCTTTTCCCAGAGTGGACGATATTTTGGTCTTCAGTAAGACCAAGGCCGAGCATGAACAACACCTAAGGGTGGTGTTGTCCGTGCTTCGAAAGCACGAATTCAAGGCAAAGATGTCTAAGTGTCAGTTCAACCGGACCGAACTGCACTTCCTGGGCCACGTAGTCAGCCGTGACGGCTTGAAAGTAGACGAGCGCAAAGTTAAAGTTGTTAAAGACTGGCCGGTACCAACCGACGCCTCCAAACTGCGCGCGTTTCTTGGCTTAGCCAATTATTTTCGGAGGTTCATCCAGGGTTATTCCTCTCTCGTGGCCCCCCTCACAACCCTAACAAGTGCGAAGGTGCCCTTCCACTGGACAAAGGAGTGTGATACTGCCTTTCAGGGTGTGAAAGATGCCTTGACAAACGCACCAGTATTAAAACTCCCTGAGCTTGACAAACCCTTCGTAGTTTGGTCTGATGCTTCGCTGCATGGCACTGGCGCCGTCTTGTTACAAGACGACCGACCCGTTGCTTATACATCTTCAAAATTCAGCAGCGCGGAATACAATTATTCCACTACAGATCAAGAATGCTTGGGCACAGTCCTGGCAATGGAAGAATGGCGTTGTTACTTGGAAGGTGCGAGTCATGTCACCCTAGTAACGGACCATCAACCTTTGGTCTATCTGCAAGAGCAGAAAAGCGCTGATAAACTTTCCAGAAGGCAAGCTCGATGGTTGGAACGATTGTCTCGATTCCAGTTTACTTGGGAGTACCGCCCCGGACGGATTAATGTCGCAGACCCTATTAGTCAGGTTCACGACATGGTGCTAAATGTGCTTACGGCCTCGCTGGCGGACAGCGACTTGGGACACCGAATCAAAAGCGGGTACGACGGTGATCCGAACCTTGCTAAAAATAAGGTAGCCAAGCTGCAGTTAAAACGAAGGAATGGATTCTGGTATCGGGGAAACCAGCTCTATGTCCCTCACAACGCTGAACTGCGAAGAGACATCTTGACAGAGTATCATGATGTCCCATACGCAGGCCACCGCGGTATTGACCGCACCAAACAAGCGATCGCACAAACATATTGGTGGCCAGGGCTTGACTCTGACGTCAAAGAACACGTCAAATCATGTCCCATTGTCAGCATAACAAGCCAACAAATGCTAAGCCGGGTGGATTACTGCAGCCCCTTCCCATTCCAACGGAGGTGTGGGAAAGCGTGACAATGGATTTGGTTACGCAGCTACCGACATCCCGCAATGGGCACGATGCGATTGTAGTGTTCGTGGACCGGCTGAGCAAAATGACGCACTTTGCTCCCACACACACAACCGCTACAGCTGAAGATGTAGCCCGCCTCTTTGTGGCTACCGTCTTCAGGCAGCACGGCCTTCCAAAGAACATTATTTCAGACCGGGACTCTCACTTCACAAGCAACTTCTGGAAGGAAACATTTCGCCTGTTGGGCACCCACCTCTATATGAGCACAGCTTTTCACCCGCAAACAGACGGGCAAACGGAACGCATGAATCGTGTTCTGGAAGAGACACTCAGGCACTACATCTCACCCACTCAAGATGATTGGGATGAGCATTTGCCACTGATTGAGTTTGCCATAAACAACTCAAAACAGAAGGCAACGGGGACAACTCCGTTTTCCCTGAATGGTGTTCGGCAACCGCGTGTTCCGGTTGACCTTCACCTAAAAACCAAGGTGCCGGCCGCTCAGAAGCAAGAAGCAATGCTTCGCGAGCGTATAAGCAAAGCTAAAAAGTGTCTCTTGGCTGCGCAGCAAGTCCAAAAGGACGACGCCGACATGCATAGGCGTCCAGTGCGTTACGAGGTTGGGCAGAAAGTGCTGTTAAGTACCAAAAATATTACATTAAAAACCCCTGGAACCAAGAAGCTGATGCCCAAGTTCATCGGCCCATACACGGTTGTTGCTCGCGTGGGCGAAGCTGCGGTAAAACTGGACTTACCGGCGGCCTCCCGCCTACACCCGGTCTTCCACGTCTCTTTGTTGAAATTGTACAAAGAAGACGTAAAGCGACAGCCACCGGCGCCACTCGTCATTGAGGGTGAACCGTATTTTATGGTCGAAGCCATTGTCGACCATCGTGATGTTTCAGTCCGAGGGGGACGTGGAAAGACACGTCGAGAGTACCCTACCAAAATGGAAGCGTGCTAAAGAACGTTCCTGAGAACGCTAAGAATGCTAAGAACGGCTTAAGAATGCTGGTGCTGCTGAGAATGATCTTATGCCAGTCTCAAGCATTCTTATGACGGTTTTAAGAAAGAATGGCTTTGAGAATGCAACAGTGCGGAAAACTTAGCAGAAACACGCACAAGTTACAGTGGTTTGCCCCTTCCATATATAGTTCAAGCAGGAAACAGAGAGTCAGTCCTGTATTCTGAAATAAGTTCATAGTGCTGAAATCATCCACAAGACCGACCATGAGGGCCCCTACTGCTCTGGACCCGCGGGTAAGGCCCTTCGAAAACTAGTACTGGCTGGCACCAGGAAGTCGCCCCAGTATACAAGTGAAGCAGACACGCCCCAACAATCAACTATCCAACGAAGGATTTAGTCAGTCAACGTATGGAACGGGCCCCAAGCAATTTCTGTCGATTTGCATATTAATGTGCCACTCCCATTACCTATTACTTCACAATACGTCCCTGTGCACAACATGTGCACAACATTCATTCGGTTATCCATCAGCCATACCATCAGCTGTACCTTCATTGAGAAGCCCTGCCCAGGCCACGGTCCGACCATTCGAGGGCCTGGGCGACCATGCCCACCAGTCCCCACGATTTGCCCTCCACTCCACCGATGTGTTACTAACGATTGCCCCTCAAGAGCAAGCCACAAGGGATTCAGAGGTCTTGCAGCGCTAATATTAATGTGCTGCTACCGTGACCTCGCCCATGGGGTCTGCGGCTGCAGGGCCTCCCAGCCAGCCACCCGCATGAAGCTGTAGCTTCTTGAAAGAACACACAGGGCGCCCCGCTTACTGGGATGTGGCAAGATGTGCACTCGGCAAGGCGCAACATCCTCAGCCAGGTAGTAACGAGAGCCTGTGTTGGACACACTGGCAGCCCTTGCGTCCACCAAGGGGACATTCATGAACTGGTCGACTGCAACTTCGGCATCACTGTTGTTCCCCAGCAGGGGAGCATGCCATTCGACCTCCAGCACCACATCGAACTTATCCCTGTTCAATGGCGACCTGTAGCGGTACAAGCCCAGCACCTTCCCCGCCCACATTTTGTCGCTGGAGTTGCATCTCCGGGTGATGAACCAGCAGGCCTGTGATGTCTTAGGCTTGTTGCTATCGAATGCAGTGAGCTCCACGTTGTTGTTGAGCTTGATGGCCACGAGCTTCTCCAAGAACCTGCCTGCGAGATGTATACCACTGATTGGCTTTGACCCCAACAGCAAACCCGGCTGCACCCACACATCTTGGCACCACAGCTCACTGAGGCAGCACTTGGCAAGCACCTACAGATGCAGGCAAGAGGCACACCAGCAGATAGGTACGTCACGGTCGCTCAAGGTGGTGAGTGTATTTACCAAGTTGTAGCGATGAAGACAGGCATGCATCGCAGGGCAGTCACACCAGGTTTCACACCTTGTTCCGCATGGACACAGAGCCATGGCTGTCCCGGTGCAACAGCGTCCTTCTTGAGTGGGTCCTTAGCCTCATGTGTGAAAGATAGTCGGACAGGAATGGCCCCGGGGTCGTGTCATCAGTCCACTGCTCCCACAGCCAGGCGGTGAAGACACCAAATAAATCAGAGTAGTCGGTGCTGTGGCGCAGGTAAGTCTCATGCATCTCCAGGAGGAAGCCTTCCGGAAGGTTCTCGCGCCATGCCTGCTTAAATCCTATTGCAGCGTTTCCGGAGAAAGTGTCAACGCTGGGGCCGGTGGAATTAGTGACTGTCCAATACGCCTTCTGCTGATGGGTCAACTTTCCAGCGGACACGGCGTCCTGTGGGGGTTCAAAAGTGCAGAGGCCCTCGGGTAACCTCTCAGCAGCTAGAATCACCGACTCCTTATGTATCCAGCTGCGCATACAGGTAGCCTCGGGGTACTGCTTGTTCTTCATCAGCTTCACCAAATGGTTCCATAGTGATTCGTAGCCCCACATCGCGGTTGTGAAACTTGGCCCAAGGTGTTCAATTCGCTCCGCGAGGTGCAGCAGCTGATGCAACTTCATGTCTAGCTCGCAGGAAGGCAGGTGAATCTCCATCAGTGTCACGGCACGAGCGACGCCATGTAGGATTGGCAAGCAGTCCTCCCGCGGCACGGCCTTGTCCATCAGGAAGGACACGCTGCAGAGCAGCTGCAGCATCACCTCAAGCTGAGGAGAACCGATTCCAGTGGCGTGGCCAAAGATGTAGGCTCCATATGGGCTAGCAAGAAAGCACTATGTGTGCATCTTCACACTCTTTCCGGGCTTGAAGAGGCTGCGCAGGCGTGATCCGCCACCGTCCCTTGAGGGGATGACTGCTGCCACCGATCCCACAGCTGAGGCCATCCGATCAACGCTGGGTGTCAACCATGGCGTCCCCTCCCACGTCCATCTGTTGACGTTGAGCTCATGCCTGCAAGAGTGATGTGCACAG